TTGGACGTCTGACCCCATCCGAAAGGTGTATGATCCGCTGAACTGGACACCGGCCCCCAATGGACTGCGGTTTCACACACCGCCCCGCTGCCTTGCGGGTTAGGCTTTGGCTAGCCGAAGGCTCCAGTTATGGATTCCTCAAGAAAATTCACCTGCCTTGGCCTGGGCAACCTGGCAGTATTCGGTCCACATCCAAGTTGTGGAATGCTTTCTTTATATATATATATATATATATATATATATATATATAGACTCCCAAATACACGACGGGTTAGCTTCATATTACTAACCCGTTTGCTCCATCCCATGTGGGCCAAAATACGTAAACACCGATAATGGAAATCTTCTAGTCATCGGACATTTTCCACTCACAAATTCAGGGTCACGGAATCATAACGCGGGACTGAAAGAACGGTAGCACAATTACATGACCTTTCAACTTCATTGAAAAGTCGCGTCTACGCTGCTCAAGCCTGGGAAATGCGGCCAGTAATCTCCTTTGATGCGCTACCACCGTTGGTCACGCAGCTACCCAAGTATGAGAAGCAGTCAACTTCAGCTAAATCCTGACCATCGACTTTCAGAACAGGACTCGGTGACACCCAATCTTGCAGTATCACTGTGCAATTTGAAGGTGCGAAGCGCATGCCGAACAGAGCAACAAAACTCGCTAGTCCGTCGAGTGCGTTTCGCACATCCTCCGGACTTTCTAAGAGACAAGCGACCTCAACAGCGTACTCTAGATCGCAGTTTTTCCAGCTGTTCATTCAATAGCAACGTTTTCGAGATCACTTAGTGCGTTCTCCAATATTTCGTCTATGAAGAAATTGAACAGGAACAGCGAGAGTGCCCCCTTCAACAATACCGTTGCTAGTTTCGAATGACCTACTCAGCTCGCCGTAGTCTGACGCTATCAGAAGTATGCGAGTAGAGTGACCTCAGTATTTTCACATACTTCTGTGGTATTCCTTTATGAAGAAAAGAATCCAACTAAGTTGAACGCTCCTTTCATATCAAAGAATACGACGACCCTTGGACGAAATTGTATGGCGTAGCTCGAGGAATAGCGCAGCGTGAATATTTGATCGACACAATCCCGACCTGGTCGGAGTTCCGCAGATATTTGTCTCCCTGAAGGTCGTCAGACGTCGGAGTATGACGGGGTCTAGTAACTTGGTGACCACTGGGATTGAACTCATTCCACGGTGGTTTGCCTAGTCGTTACAAGATCCATTCTTGAAATTTGGAACAATCAGTGATTCACTCCCGGATGATGGAACACTCTCTTGAGACCAGATGCTATACAATAAATCATTAATAGAATCTGCGAAGTCATCGACCCTCGTTTTAAAATGTCAGACCCTGCTGCTTTTCCTATCTTGAGGGCTCGGATGCTAGATCGTACTTTTGCTTCAGTGGTATGCTCAAACTAAACTGCCCCTGTAATCTCAACTAAAACAGAAGAGATAGTCTGATTTGCTACTGGCCAGCTGAACTGTTCGTTCAAGTAATTCGCCCCTCCCCCCGATCAAGCCGTTGGTCCCTATTGTGAATAGCTTGTGCACATATGTCGAAGACTGTTTCACTAACTGTGGTCCGCCGACCTCTCTT